AAGTGATTATATATACTAAAACTACTGCCACTTGGTAATTCCATACTAATTGTTTAATATTGATAACCACATGCAGACCTCTGATAAACCACTGAAGGTGAGATGGACAGAAAAGCTACAGAGAATATATTTAATATGTGGAATTGAGTAAAAATTTTGATCATAATCAGTACTCTAAGTGTAAAAAAAAAAAATCTAAATGCCCTTTGAATAAATCTGATTCTAATTTTATTATTTATAAGGAGGGATCTGTTACCACCTATTTTAGGATTCTAAAGAAATAAAATAACACAACTTCAAAGCTAAATCAACTATTGTTATTTTTTTCTCCTTCTGTTTGTAAATGTAAAAAATAAAAGGCAAAAAACTATCCTTATAAACCAAGCCAAAGATCTTTAAAATATTGCACTAACATTATAATAACCATTGGAAAAACTTACTGTAACTTCAACCTTATTACCACTGTAAGGGTAAAAACTATGCTAATGCCAGGAGCTTCCAGTAACTAAATGCTCTTGGAAAGTGTCCAAGACAATGTTATAGTAAATTTCCAACTTGTTTCATCTAACATCAAGAAAAACAAGTTATCTAAAGAATTGGATTATGTTTAAAAAGACTCTAACTAAAAGTTTTATGTCAAATAATCACTCGGAAAAAATTTTACACTGTACTTATGCTGGGCCCTAAGTCTAGTAAGGATCAACTTGGGGGATAGCTGCACTTACTAATCTAAGTCACATATTACTTAATATTATTTTGAGAAAATTTTCAATACCACTAGCTCCCATTTTGAGAGAACTAGATTTTGACAGAATCTATTAAAGTAACAATTGACAATGATGCTGCAAATCTCCCTAGATTCCATATCGTGGACAGCATGTGATGGTGGTTACACTTTGATTTCTAGCTTGAGCCCCTTTACTCTCCTATTATTGTGGCTCAGATTCCTTTTTCATGGTGTACAAGGCTGATAGATATATACCGATGTCATGGATAAGGAAACATAACGGTGTTTTGTAGCTGTGAGTGCATATGTGAATATACATATATAACACTCCAGACAAGCTGGGATTTCCACTCCTAACAACTGGTTTAGAAATTAAAGTTCTCCTAAATTGAGAAGTAAAAGCCAGGGGTTATAAGAAAAATCTAGCCAAATAGTAAAGGGAGCTATAAAATTAATTATGGAGACAAAAAAAAACATCAAAATAAAGCAGGTTCACCAAACAAACAAAGCCAACAAATTTTCACTAAGCATCTTTAAGTTTATCTGTAAACGCTGACATTTTTAAAAAGTTGAGTGGTGCACCAACTTACATTTATGAAAAATGACATCATAGAATAAATGTCTAATTCCCAAAAGTAATAATTCAAGTTTAAAGATCTGCATATAAAAATAATAGAAGCAAGAGCTGCAATGAAATGAATAGAAAAAGCAAACATGGTTTTACAGGAAACATTAAAAGTGGGATAGACTAAATATAATATACAAAAGACCCAAAATGAAGGAATTAGGCAGAAATATTCCCAATGTGTTCAATATCTACTGAAACAAGCAATGCCATTCCAACTAATATCTGCCACAAAAGTTGGCATAAATGAGCTACTTCTATTATTTTTTTAATGATGAACCAAGGAGAGATATGTTACATATATTTTGTAATTTACCAATAATGTGCTATTAAATTTATATTAGTGATGCTTCAGCCAAGGATTTGTGCTAAAAAGACTGAAATCTGTTAGTTCCACAGTGAAAATGATGCCTCACTAGATATTCAACATAAAGCTGACCCCTAAAGGTTCCTTGATGCACATCTGCCACAATACGGTATACTAAACTAGCAACAGATTGGTTAAAAACAGTTTGGATTTTCAACTTCCATATCACAGGCAACATTTTTAGAAGCAATCATATTAAAATAAACGTGTCTTTCACAGTTACAGGATGAAATCTTAAACTGGCAGGCACCAATGCCCTGATTTTCTACTTTTTTCGTAAACCATATGACTTCCACATGCTGAGAACGTTTTATGCTTTAACCTGCAGTAAAGGCTTTACATCATTTTAATGCTCAGTGCTTAAAATGCAACAGAATCACCCCCAATGAATGCAAGGAATATATCTGATTTACTTTAAATCGGACTGTTAGAGAAAGTTCAATGAAGGCTTTCCCAATAATTTTGCATTTCCATAGAAGGAAACAAACAAAAAGAAAAACCTGAGGTAAGGGCAGGCAGAAGAGCAAATACTGTTATACGGTTCCAATTCTCAACAGACATTTTAGTTTTATTTCTAAAACAATTATTGAACATTTTAATATTGTATATCTAACAATACCTTTCACACACAAAAAAATCACTCTATTATGTAGTTATTTAGGATTTTTCTCTAGTTTTTACAAAGTAATGTTTCAGGTTAAGATAGAAGGTTAAAACAAACAAATTCTGGAAATCCTAATCTATAACAAACTAAAGGCGCTACTTTGTATTCTAAATTCAAAATTTAGAGGACATCAATTTTGTCTTTATTCAGGTCAATCTAAATATATATGCTACCTCATGCATACAGTCAGCTTGTATGTGTGAACTACCAACTGCAGGAATTCCAATTCAAAGGTTATAAAATATACCATAAAATTACATACTGTATCTATGTGACTTTCAGTTTCATAGGTTCAAGAATTGATAAGTTTGCAGTTGCTAGGTTCAAGAATTGATAAGTTTGCAGCCAAATATGTAAGTACACTAAATTCTCAACAGTCTAAAGAGAAATCATGCCAATTCCTTTGGTTATTTAAAAGTCTACTACAGTAAAAATCTGTCTCCTGAGAAGGGATATTGACAAACTTATATTTCAGACTGAAGGAAATACAAATTATATTGTCTTAAATTCTCCTGGTGCGATGTGATTAAATATTATAAAGACTGTGAGAAACAACATGTTGCAATCCCCTTCCCTTTATACCTCTACCTGAACCTTGGGGGTGGGGGGTGGGGGGAATCAGAATTCACATCTTCCAAACGACTTATAAACATAGTTCAGCCAGCTCTCACAACTCGGTTGTGCAGTTTTAAAATAAGTTTAATGCAAAGCCCGGCAACCTTGCTGTGACAATTACCTGTGGCTACATGCAAAATAAAAACAAATGCAGGTCCTTTTCACCTAAAGATGTGTTTTACTCACAAAACCACAAAAAGCACCACCTTATTAGCACAAACTAAACCAACAGGAACAGGAGGCAGTACGTCCATCCAGGAAGAGCAAAGTACAATGCCAAGAAAGAAAGGAAGGAAGGACTTCAGCAAAGAAGAAGGAAAGGAAGGAAGGAAGGGCAGCGGGAAGGAGGGAAGGCAGAGGTCTGCACAGCTGCAGGATCTCAGGGAAATGAACTCGTCACATCACTCCGCCCTACAGGGAACAGAAGGGTTTTTAAAGCGTCAGGGCAATTGCATAAAGCGATCACTTCATACCGTTCAACTTCGCACGGTACCTTGAATGCCAGCTGCATTCGCCCCTCCACTCACCCAATGCCTCCTCGCTCTTCGGTGCCGGCTTTCAGACAAATGCGAGACGGAACAGGGTGGGGTACAAGGAAAACACACACAGCGCCTTTCAGCGACTCCCCCCGCACCCCACCCCACCCCGCCTCCAAATAATTTCCAACAGTTTTTCCTGCCACGCAAATCAGTCGCCCCATCTCAAGATGCACAAGTCATCCTGTGTTTTTAAGTAGACACATGCCAGCACTCCCGACCGCGACCCCGCGCGCCCGCAGCTGATGTTTAATGTGTTCGACACCCAGACGAGGAGCTAGAGATATACCTACCTGCTGTTTTCGGGGAGAGGGTGGGTGGAGGACTCCTTTCGAAGCAGCCCCAATCGTGTCACCAAAACACGGTTCCGGAATAAAATATTAAGAACACTTTTTTTCTTTTCCCACCTCATCTACCGACTTCAGGGATGCAAGAACCCCTCTCCACGCCACCTCCGCTCGACAGTCCTCCCGCCCGGAGTTCGGGTCACCTCGCGCCCGCCTCTCCGCCCAGGCCCAGGGCGCAGCTAGGACTCCAGCTGCCTAACTTCCCGTCGCTAGACCTCCATCCAAGGCTAACACGTTCCCCGAGGACACGTCACCCAGTTTCAACCGCAGTCACACACCCCAAACAAGCCCACACGCCTCCAATTCACCCTACAGTTTCCCAAACTCCAAGCAGGAGACCCCACCTCCGGGAGTCCAACCTTCTGCCCAGAAGAGACGAGAACAGAGTTGGGGTGCAACCGACGCCTTTCAATGACCGCCCCCCCCAAACCGCCCCACCCCAGACCCTGCGTCCGGGGTCACCCACTCGGAAGCCCCCTGCGTCCTCCCTCCTCTCAATCCGGCGGTTTCAGAGACCCAGCCCCAGCCCACTCACTTTCTCCCCAAAACCCCGCAAAAAAAAAAAAAGTGGAGAGAAAGAAGTGAGGAAAGAGACTTGAGGTAGTCCGGCTTTAAAACCGCTCGACTCACCTCGGAATCGTTGCCGAGTTCTCTCCGCGCGGCACAGCCCCCTCCCCAACGTCCCAGTACGAAGGGCTGAGACCGGGAGGAGGGGAAAGCGGGAGGGGGAGGGGTGTCTTCCGCGTGGGGCGCCGGTCGGGAGCGGACTGGGGAGGGGTTGAGGTCCGCGCAGGAAGAGGAGGAGGGGGAGGGGAGGCCCCTATCTCCCAGTCTCCCCCTGAAAACCTCCCTTGTCTCAATCACATCAGACTGACTGTCTTTGTCTGGCTGACAACCGCCATATTGATATCAACAGCCCCGCTCCCACCTGCTGCAGCCGGGCGGCCCTGGGAGTTGTAGTTCCTACCTCCCCTGAGTAAACGTGTGGGACTCTGCGTCCAGAGACTCCAGTGAACTACAACTCCCGGCAAGTCGCGCGCCCACCGGGAGGCGGGGAAAGGGGCGGCAGAGCCGTGGGGACTACACATCCCAGAATACCATGGGTACGAGGCCCAGACTGTGGACATGAGATCACTCTGGGGTGGAGAGGCAGGATGAATTGGCGGCCGGGATGAATTTGAGCGGACGAAAGGAGGTGTTTCGAGAGAAAACGGAGGAGAAGGAAAGATAACTATAGTTCCCAGGATGTATGGAGGCATGACTACAATTCCCATGATGCCCCGGAAAGGGGGAGCAGGGAAGAAAGACTACACGTCCCGCGATGCTCTCCGCGGGCGAGCGGCGGAGCTTGAACCGGAAGACGCTTTCTGGGTTTGAGGAGTCCAGTGACTGGTGTTCAACAACCAAAAGTCCAATATGAAACTGGTGAGTCTCTTGTCCTAGGTCAGAGGGCAATGGTTGTGCCATAGCCTTTGGACTTAGTCGTTTCCACCTGGCGAAGGGAACCGTGTCTAAAGGGGTGGTAATTAGGGGACTAGAAAGTGCGGTGAACTAAGGAAAGCTGCTGTTCGTTGTTTGAGGGGGTTAGAATCACACCTCCCTACCCCACCTCACACACAGCTGCCAGGGGATCTTAGACATGCTTGGTGGGTCCGTTTGGTTAGATAAGTGGTTGAAACATTTCTTCACCGACCAACTAAGGGTGGGCTTCATGAACTGGGTTCGGCTGGTTTCTCAGCTGCCACGTGAGTGTTATAATAGCTTGTTAACTTCTTTCCACGCAGTTGGCGCTTGTTTAGCGTTTCTTACCGTTGTTGAGAGGCTTTGTTACTTATGGGTAGAGGTAGAAAATATTGGACAGAGGGTCATTATTAAATTTTCTGTTATAGGCTCCTGATTGCACTCGGAATTCAGAGAAGGACGAGGGCAGGGTGTGCTGCTGGGGGATTTGAGGCTTAAACCTGTAGAGCAGTGGTTCTCAACCTTCCTAATGCCGCGGCCCTTTAATACAGTTCCTCGTGTTGTGACCCAACCATAAAATTATTTTCGCTGCTACTTCATAACTAATTTTGCTACTGTTATGAATCGTAATGTAAATATCTGATATGCAGTATGTATTTTCATTGTTACAAATTGAACATAATTAAAGCATAGTGATTAATCACAAAAACTATGTAATTATATATGTGTTTTCCGATGGTCTTAGGCGACCCCTGTGAAAGGGTCGTTCGACCCCCAGGTTGAGAACCGCTGCTGTAGAGCCTGCTTATAGATGGATTGAGAGGAAGTGTTAATACATTAGAGTGGGGAGCGCCCCTTTAGTTGCTAGATGAAATGCTGCCAATTCATGAATTGCTTCATAAAGCCAATCAGATCTTCAAGTTGAAATAAAAAGACATTACAGTCTGTAAGGACTTCTTGACCCAAGGTTAGCTGGAATATGCCAGTCTCCTTGGAGTCCACATCACAATACTCAAAACACCTGGCTTCTAAGAAAACTCAGACCTTTATTTCGAGCCATTTTACTATCATTGTGCTCGCAGGCCTAACTAGTTTATTCCAACTGTGTGGAATTAGTTAATAGCATATTTATGAGGACAAAAGCCTGTGCGATGCTGTACCTTTAAAAATCATGTTCCTGTAGCCAAATACTGCCAAGCTTTACTTTCTGTAATTTTTATTTTATCTTAAAATATATTTTTATTGATTTCAGAGAGAAAGGGAGAGGGAGAGAGAGAGAGAAACATCAGTGATGAGAGAGAACCATTGGTTGGCTGCCTCCTGCACGCCCGCTATTGGGATCAAGCCTGCAACACGGGCATGTGCCCTTGACTGGAATTGAACCCAGGACACTTAGTCTGCTGGCTGACGCTCTATCCGCTGAGCCAAATGGACGAGGGCATCTGTAATTTATACAAAAAAAAAAAAAAAAAAGCCTAACCCCCTCCCATTTATGTAATTACTTGAACATGTTTTTTCAAAGGACACACCCCCCTCTCATCTGCCCTTTGGTAATTACCATGCTGCAGGTATATACTTACTTGCTCAGCAAAGTGCCAGCTATTTTTTGAAAGCTCAGAGAAAGTATTAAAAGTAGATTCAGCTCCAAAACTCTCTCTATTTAAAGCTGTTTATGTAAGGGGAGGGCAGAGATCCGTAAACCTTGAGAATATCAATTTGCTTCTAGGTACCATGTGCTAGACACTTAAGAATGCAGAATTGAAAGTCACCACTCTATCCCTAAAGAAGTGTGCAATATAATGAAGGTAGAAAAGTAAGCCAAAACTTTAATTCATGGTAACACAGAGGCATGTTTAGGGCTTGAACTGAGAGAATGATTGAGAGACATTCTTGGAAAGGTGACTCTGGAATTGCTAAGAAGGAGGAGTAGGTTCGGGTCTTCCATGAAGAGGAATCAGCTTAGGAGCAAAAAGCTTTCGCCTAAATCAGTGGTTCCCAACCTTGGCTGCACAGTAGAATCCCTGGGCATCTTTTTAAAATCCTGAGTTCTGGGCCGCATCCTCCGGAAATTCTGTTTCTTTGTTATGGGGTGGGGCCACAACATTAGTAACAAAGAAACAGAATTTCCGGAGGATGAGGCCCAGAAATCAGGATTTTAGAAAGATGCCCAGGTGATTCTAATGGGCAGCCAAGGTTGAGAACCCCTGGCCTAAATGGTTGGAGCACAGATCATGTGTCTTCAATAAAAGATAAATTACATTGGGTGTGCTTGGTGTGAAGGCATGCAAGTGTGAAACAGTTTTTCCGTAAAAACTCATTTGCTGAGGTTATCAGAGAGCCATAGTTTATTTGACAGTTGTGAATTTATTCTTGTATTATTTATTAGTAATAATTATAACCTGCATGTCTTTTTCCATACAAACAACTGTAAACCTACTTTTGGCCACCCCTGTACTTTGGTTTGCTCATAATATCCTCCTGCTTAATTTATTTAGAGATGTGAAATCATGGAAGGGAAAAAAGTAGAAACTTTTTTTTTTCCTTTAAGAACCAAAAGATAGCTCTGAGGAAGTGTTAAAAACTCATTTGGGCCCTGGCCAGTTTGGCTCAGTGGTTAGAGGGGACTCAGGTTATATTCCCAGTGAGGGCACATACCTATGTTGCAGGTTCCCCAGCCCCGGTAGGAGCGTGCAGGAGGCAACCAATGTACATGTCTCTCTCACTCTCTCCCTCCTCTACCTCCCCCGCCTCCTTCCTTCCTTCCTTTCTTCCTTCCTTCCACTCTCTCTAGAAATCAATGGAAAAAATATCCTCAGGTGAGGATTTAAAAAAAACACACACAAAAAACTCATTTGGTAGTTAATAGATGATCTGTAATGCAGAATTTCTATCAACATAGCAAAGTGGTTTCAAAAATATTGACAGAAAATTAGACTCCTTTTGTGTGATGTGCCTCCCGTAGAGTTGTAATAAATATTCCCATGGCCTAAAATGTTTAACTTTGTGTACTGCTTCCAGAATATGTAGTCAGCCATGTCTTACATTTATTTCATGAAACACAGAAATACATTTTATTGAGCACATTCTTGGTTTTGAGATTATGACTTCCAAAATACCCTTCCCAGTCTGTGACCGCATCTTAGTCCACTTCTATTGTTGAACAGGTCTGTGTCTCTCCAGTCCTGCTAATACTGCCTTTGTAGGGGCTCTTTTCACTTGACATTTGGAATTCAAAAGACCTTCTATCTGGGCTGCCTACATTCAGTCTTTCCCCTCTCCAATCCATGATCCACTCTGCATCCTGAAAGTTGTTTTAAACTGCAGTTACATGAAACCCTTTGCCCTTAGGATAAAGTTTTAAAATTTTTAACTTGACTGACTTGGGCCTGCCTGCCTCTCCAGGTGTGTGTCTAGCCCTCATCTCCGTTGTTCTCCCTGTTCCAGTGATTTTACACATCTTCCAGTTCCTTCCACTTTCCCTGCTCTCTTTTGCCTCTGGGACTTGACAATATGTTCCATTGCCTACAACACTTTCTCCCTGCCTAACTTCTTTATACATTTCAGTCTCTGATGAAATAGCACCTCCTCGTCCAGCCAGTGTAGTTCAGTGGTTGAGTGTTGATCTGTGAACCAGGAGGACACGGTTTGATTCCCAGTCAGGGCTCGGTCCCCAGTAGAGGGGGCACAGGAGGCAGCCGATCAAAGAATCTCTCTCATCGTTGATGTTTCTATCTATCTCTCCCTCTTCCTTCCTCTCTGAAATCAATAAAAATGTATTAAATTGTTTTTTTTAAAATAGCACTTCCTCAAAGTTTCCTTTAATTAGGTAGCCACCCCTCTTATATGTTTCCATGGCACACCTTTTGTAGCATTTGCGGTGATAAGTTTTATTTCTGCCCTCTGTCTTTTAGACTGTGTATTCCCAAGGCCCAACATAGTGTGACACCACTAAATAGTAGTTGAATAATATCTGAAGGCTTAGCAAGTCTGTAAATATCATTGAGTAAAGCTTATGGGGTAAAGTTAAAACGTTACAATAAGCTGTAACATTGGAGTAAAAAATAAGTGCTACCCTTTATGGAACAATTACTATGTGCCAGGCACTGTGCAAGGTACTTCCTATTCAGTGGCCCATTTAATCCTTTGGTCTAGGCCCCAGGGATGATAGTCCCATTTTACAGATTTAAAAAAAAACAACTGAACCCAGGGAGGTGATGTCGCTCAAAGTTACACAGAGGAAAAAAGCGGCATAGAACATGCCAAGATTCCTTCCTCAAGGGTCTGCTGCTTAATGAGGGCAAGGACTCCAGCACCTTGCACAGTGCCTGGCATGTTCTAGGTCCGCTCTTAGAGTATGCACCAGAGTGCATACTGAGAGTTTATTTGAAGCTATTTTTTTCTTAATAATTATAGTTTGTTAACATTCTGTTAGAACATACAGGTCCAGGGGAAGTAAAAATAATCAAAGGGTCACTGTGGGGAAAGCCTTTAGGTC